TGCTATAGACTGTATCTTTTATTATTCGTGAGAACCGGTGAAAACCGAATACCCCAAACTTACCGTGAACTGTGCCTTTGAGGATAACGTGGTCTACTTCATTATAAAACTGTCCACAAGGTCAGTCACTCAGAAGTTTGAGGCACTTAGAACACCATACTATCGATGATTTTAGTAGATTTCATATTTGACAGTTTTCATAATGCTTGCCCATTTCACTCCATAGTAGCGATGTGAACTGCTCTGGCTGTGTTTAAGGCTCATCTTGGCCTTCTCTCCATAGCGTTAAATTCGGCTAAAAAAGCATAATTATATATAGAGACTCCAGCTTCATAGCTCTTTTAGCTTGCTCTGATGTTGGCTCGTAGGCAAAGAAGGATGATAAAGCTATATTCGAGTCACACTCCCTCGAAAACAAGGATCCGTTTCGTGCGGTAGATTTCGAACAAACCATGTTCTATACTAGGTGAATGTTGACCAGCACGCCTACTCCACCGTAGCCTTCGGATGTTTCAGAGAAGACTTCTCCTTCAGTCATAAATATGACATGCAGAGAGCGACGTCTTCTCATTTCGGGCATTCCGATGACGCCGTACTTAATCCTCCTATTAAACTTCATAGACCTTCAATAAAGGCCTGCGATGAGAGCCATCGCACGTTGGAGAATCTAAACCCATCATACACAACCTATTGAAAGATGAAATTCTAGCAACCTATCTCAAATTATCCTTGGAGGCTTCCTCATATTCAGAAAACAATATTGTTTTGGCTCTTATTTACTCACAATCAGAAGAATACTGCCAATTCTATTTTGGTGATGAGGTCGGGTGGCTATTGTCGGCACCACTACCGGGCGAGCTTCGCTTAGTGGGCTAGAGCACCGTCCTGCTGATAAGTCTACGAGAAGCAAATTCGGATCGGTGCTTCATTACGCCCATCGACATGATCTTTCAGTACAGGTCTTAGTCAGTTTTCACGCCGTCACCACGAGCGTCTTACCCTTGCTAGTGACTCCCTCACTTTACTATTCACACAGCAACTTTTTTACAAGGTCGATGTTTGTAGCCGAAACGTGAACTCTTCATTTTTAGGGCAATGGTTTTGTTGCTTTTATGTAGCCAGAGGAAACGATGAAGGAAGGCGCGTCTCCACTCAAGTTAGTTAGCAACTTTCAAATCTGTGGGCCCTACACTGCCTGTCAAGTGACATTTCTGCATGCGATATGAACAGCAATAAAGCTTTTATTTGACAATACGCTCCACTCATAAATCCGATAAGTCTTGATTCATTGCCGCCCTTCTGATGGGTCACCCGGGATCACGATCAACTCGCAAACGGAACATTTCCTATCGTAGTTGTGGTCCTATCTTTTAAAATACTAGCCTTTCTGACTTCTCTTGTCTGATTGTTCTTCATCAACATATCGTTTACCAACCTCCTATAGGATGAATGCAACAATGTCAACAATTTGCGCTACTGTGCTATCGTAGTACAGTGCATATGGAAGACATTGTTTGTATTGTATAAATCCTCAAAATAAATGATCCTCAAAATGTTCTGTGGCCTTCGCTATGTAAATACTAATAACGACTATTTGGAAAGCTGTTCGTGTGCACTAATGAACTAGCAGCTTCAAATTAACCACTGCTCCAGACTCCATGAAATGAAGAGCAGAGTGAGTTTTCCTCACAAAAAACCGCTTACATGTGTGAGAAGCGAGTCTGACAATGCAGAACGGACAAATTTTATCTTAATATGGATATAACTTAAAAACCAATCTGCCGCCTTTCCTAAATCACGTTTTTGCAGCAAAACAGGAGTGTAGCCCGAACTAACCAAGGAAGCCCGGCCAGAGATTGAAGGCTAGTGCCCGAGCACATGGGCGCTCAGCACGCTAGAGTGCCTCATGTGCTCGGGCATGTAGAAGTCATATAAAATCGGAAATCATCATGACACGTAGGCATTGAGATTCATCCTATATAAACTGGTGTGTCACTTTCAGAGTAAATATGAGGCAACTCTAATGTCGCTATCAGCACCAGAACGAACGTCGTTAGGACCATAAGTTATCACAACATTTATGCAGGGTCAATTACACAGCAACAAGTACATCACTTACGCAGTCAGCGCTACAGTAAATTGGGAGCAGGAGTGAACTGATCCTCAGACCCAGTCATCGAAATAAATATATCACGATCGTGAGGGCAAGGATGAGCAAAGCACTTGAAGAGGTGGTCTTGACAGGCAGTTTGTTGCCTCCTGTTGCTCCTTTCTTCGGTACCATCAAATTCCTTGGGCCTAAGTGATCTTCCTCAGATGAAGTCATGCCTTTATTGCAAAACGCCAAAAAAAGAGAGAAGCGTCTTCATTAACGCGTTAGGACGTGCGAATCTTGGGAACATGATCATGGGATTGACTAACATTTTTCTATGTTTGTGAAGACGAATCCTGGTTGACCTTGTGATCTCAAGCTCCTACCTTTCTATGCAATTAATGAATCGAAACAGGTATGTAACGTGTGTATAACAAAATTACAGTCTAAAAGTTTCAAGAGCAGGCATCAAGTTTATATGGGCAGAGCTTATCGAGACACATCAGTGAAGGATCAAATTTGTTCCAATTTTCCAACGAGTAATAGCGGCAAAACGCCAATAATAAGTGTAAGAACCTTGATAAAGACTGATGATAAAAGCTGATGGCTATTATCGACCGCAGATGAACATGAAAAATTTGCCAGAAAAAACTTTCCTAGTATCACCTTCCATTTTTGCCGTTTTTGTCATCAGAGAATTCGTTATTCTACATGTACTCTTTGCTTCTGCTCCGAAAAGGTTCTGCAGTGGAAAATTCACACTGCCTAGTCTCGACAAATTCGTCGGCTTCAAAAGCCTGGAAACACTGTGGAGTTTCTTGTAATAATATCACGCTAGGGGAGGGCAAGCCTTTAACTAGTTGCAACTCTAAGTAATGAAATTCAAACAAAGTAGGAATTCCAATCAGCAGACTACTCTCGTCAAAATTCCTGAAAATGAGCTTTTCCTCAACTCTGGAACTTCGGAGATAAAACAGTAAGTGGGATTGCGCGGTCTCCCACGCCCGTCACGTCATCTCGTACATCCTTTCCTAATACAATGCTCATACAGTAGAGTATTGGACGAAACACTATCAGTTATGCTGATGCACTCATTCTTATTACTCATACGTGGAATTTGGTCCCTTGTCCAGGGAGCCTCAAGGGCTTTTCTAGCAACGAATGACGTTCTTGTGTGCCAGAATCATGCATTTAACGTCAAAATCATGGCCAGCATAATTTCCCACTCTGCACCTCCACTCCGCAAGAACATCTGAAACGTATATTTGAACAAATAGCTCTCAGTTCCAGTTAATCAAAAAGAAAGCTTGATTGTTTATGGCATGATTCATTTAAGGTACTGATTACTGAAGCAAACCCCAAGCACTCTGGCTGCCGAGCTTCGCTTGTCATGTCGCCTCATCAGTGTATCTGCATCAGAAAAAATTGAGAAAGGAGAGAAAACATGTGAAACGAGTTGGTATGAGCTAACAGCTGTATTGCTGTGTCGTCCTCTTCCAATATTTGCTCTCAACGTGTTTTGACTCTACTAAATGCGTGGGTTAATAGCCGTAATGGGAAGAAAGTGCAATTCTGACGGAAAAAAATATTTACAAAATATATTTATACAGCTTCCCTCCACCACAGCCAGATGCATCTGAAGCACATTGCTCTTGCTAATATATAAGGGAACAGCAAACGAAGTTTATCACATTCGCAATGTTGCTCATATTCGCACTGCTGGCTTCCGTCGTAGCTTCTTTCGCTGCACAAGGTGAGTGCCGTAATCGCTATACAATCTCGGATAGCTCTGTGTTTCTCATTACCACTCGGCACTGCCTGAATTGTTTTTCAATTTCTAACAGAATTGACATTTCAGGCGAGAGTAGCCCACTTCCGCCAGATGCTAAGAAGGCACTCTATTATATCGCAGTCAAGTACCCGAACATTGTTAGACATTTTTGCAAAATGAGCTGTCTAGCTTAATTTTCGATGTATCGTTTTGCTTACAGGTTTGGAACGAATCTTTGGAGCGTTACGCATTACAGTGGATAACTACGCCGAACATTGTGAAGACTGACGCGACGATAAAGGAGAAGCAGTGCGTCGTTGTCTACTTCTCTAATATATGTTTTTATTTCCTATAAGAATATATTGCATTCACTCAATTTTTAAGATGCTTCAAGAAGACAGATAAAACGTCGTGGTTTGACAAAACGCTGAAGGCCTTTGGAAACCAAATCAAGGAGAATAAAGAGGACGTGAGTCTAACCTCAAATGTTATTCTGGTCTCAAATATTATTCTAGATTTTTTCTTTTAAGCAGTCTTTCCATGAACCACACCGCGATTACTACAATATTAAGTTGTTTTCTTGATCTCTGCAAGGATTTTGTACTTAAGCTTTATTAGATTAACGTCAGGGTGAGTTCGCGTTCTTCGGAGCCCGCAGACCTCACAACAGTTCGTG